TTACGTCCCCTTGAGTTCAGCTTTCAACAGTACATTTCGTCATGAATAACTTATTTTCCAGGCACGCACATCCAGATACATTTAACTACACAAACACACGAACACGTGTACACCAGCACCAACATAGACCCCCCCCCCCCCCCCACACACACATTAACACAGATTGTCATTCAAAGTCATCATTGTTTTCTTCTTCTTCTTCTTCTTCTTCTTCTTCTTCTTCTTCTTCTTCTTCTTCTTCTTCTTCTTCTTCTTCTTCTTCTTCTTCTTCTTCTTCTTCTTCTCTTTCTCAACCTCCTACTTGTTCTATCCTTTTCTTTCCCATTTTAATATGTTTCTATTATAGTCCTCAAACCACATCTCTTTGAAGGAAGGAAGGTAATTAGATCAGCACCGGGTTATTCACTGACAACCTATATTAAGCCAAGTTCCCATGCACATTTCTTTTATTGGCAGCAACAGCAGCGGTAACAGCAGCAGCAGTAGTAGTAGTAGTAGTAGTAGTAGTAGTAGTAGTAGTAGTAGTAGTAGTAGTCATAAAAACAACCACAACCACGAAGAACGGTCTTACAACAACAACATTAATGACAACAATAAAAGTATAATTTATAATAAAAAATAATCATCACAATCACATCAAAACAAAAAAACAACAACCCAATGCTTTCCCCCTTGTTACAGACCGCCTCCGTTGTTGCCTTTCTTTGCCTAATTTATGCCCGACGAGACCGCATTGCTGTTTTTTACGAGCGTCCCTCGGGCCCAGTTGGCTCAAGCTCAATAAACACAGTGAACATGGCTGACCGTGTCGCTAATGTGGGACACGCAAGATGAGAACTTACTGATTGAGACCTCTCCAGGGCCCACGGGGGCTCGCGCGGGGCTGACGTCACGCATTGTTTTCTCCCTCACCAAATTAGAAACATGCTTCATGATGATGGAAGAGTTATTGGGGAGATTGCTGATGGCAACGCCTCTGGCCTTTGCATAATTTCAAATTAATGGTTATTCTTTTTCAACAAAAAAATTATTAAAAAAAAAGAAAACAGAAAAAGGACACATACGACTCCCCGTCCCTCCCCTCACACGCATACACGCACGCACGTTGTACAGATAGCGGCAAGTGTGGCTAGCTCTTATTTCTATACAGTTTTTCCCTATCCCCTCTTTTTTATCCCTGTTCTTTTCTTCTTCTTCTTCTTCTTCTTCTTCTTCTTCTTCTTCTTCTTTTTCTTCTTTTGCTATTTCGGTCTGTCTGTCTATTTGTCTTTCTGTCTTTCTGTCTGTCTGTCTCTCTCTCTCTTCTATCCATCCACCCATTCATCCATCCATCCATCCATCCATCCATCCATCCATCCATCCATCCATCCATCCATTCCTCTGTCTATCTATCTATCTATCTATCTATCTATCTATCTATCTATCTATCTATCTATCTATCTATCTATCTATCTATCTATCTATCTATCTATCTATCTATACCTTTTGTAAGGCCAAAGAGAGCGAACTAAGATGGCCGCTGAATCGGAAAAGTTAAGTAAAGTATCTGCACCCTCACTTTGTTCTCCTATCCCATTTCTATCTCTGTGTCCTGGTATCAGCATGCTACAATTACTCCTTTTTCCCCTCCTATTTCTGTTGTTGTTGCTTTCTTACCAGTTCAATTGGCAACTAACAGCACGGGCAGTAATATAAGACTCTTGAGACAAATTTCATTCGATGTAGGGGGCTTAAGTTCACTAATACGATTTTAAGTTCTTAATACCGAGTGCTTGAACATTGAAAGTGAGGAAAATCATAGGAAAAAATATAACATCGGAAGCTATCCATCGAATATGGCTGCTTGTACCTGGCATCGAACAAGGTACTTTGGCAAGTGAATAATGAAATGAGCCAACAAACGCATTATGAACACTGGTAATATATCTCATTGTTTGTAAATGCCATACACGCTAAGGGGCACATTTTTGACCATTTAGGAAGCGGACTGTTTCGCCTCCGTGCGCTAGAGCCAACTTGGAACACAGCCTGTTAGTGGAATGACAGTGTCACATGAAAAACTATACTTCCGAGTGTGCGGTAAAGAAACTCGTGTCCTCTGAGAGCAACACAGACGGCCTTCAGCATTGCACAAGACTAAGCGAAACTTGGACGAATGACTTATTTATAGGGTTAATTATACTGTCTCTCC